GGGGGGGGGGGGGGGGGAATGCGCAAACAAATTGCTCCCCCCCCCCCACAGAGCAGAGAGTTTGGAGAGGAAGAGATTACAAAGAGTAAGCAGGCACACCAGGCTGTTTGCATAGCAGCTGTCAGCATCAGTGTGTTGCTTTCAATGTGCATTCCCCATAGTATGCCTGCTTACTTTCCTGTAATCCCTTCCTCTCCAATCTCTTTGCTCTGTGGGGTGTGGGGGGCGGGGGAGAAAAACAACAGGTCAGGCACAGGACAATGCATACTAACTGTAATGGCAATCACATGACTGAGGAACAGCACCGTCGTAACTTCAAAAGGCCACTGAACAAGACAGTCAGTAAGCAAGGACTACCTGTATAGCCAGGTTTTGCTAAAGCACTTTCACATCATCGAACTTTCATCTTTCTCATCAAACTCTAATCGAGCAATTGACCAAATTGCTTAGGGAAGTAGGAAGGAACTGCAGGCTCAGATGTTGTATGTACATGCATTTCTTCCTCTAACCAACTTCTTGTCCAATCCTCCTTTTTATAGCAGTCCTTCTTTCTGATTCAGCTGTGCCTCACTGGTTGTTGCTGTCATTGCTGAATTAAGTAAAGTCTTACTTGATGTGCAATTTTTACCTAGTGGCTAGCTTCTGGTGTAGATTGTTCTGTTCTTTGTTTGCTGTCATGCTGTGTCTGCTGTTTTCTCCCTCCCTTCTCTTCTATTCCCTCTGGCCCTTGCCAGATTACTGATTTCAAATGGAAAAGTCCAGAATATTCATAACAAATTCCTTTTCTTAATGCTTTTGGAGGAAAGTGACCTATATGTATCACATTCACATATTCATTCACTCAATTCTGACCTTCAGAAAAGATACTGAATACTGACCTTCAGAAAAGATCTCCCAGACAAGTATCCTAAATGAAAAGCTGAATTTAGCAATGATAGGAGGATGCTAAGGAAAGTATCTCCTGGGCTGGAAACAGTATGGGCTGATAAGTTCATTTGTCTTGATTAACGCCAGGGTCAGGCTTCTGGGGTGGCCTGCACAGGAATTGTATATATGCAAAAGATGCACATAGGAATTTTTGACACATAAGGACGTGTACGCACAAATGTACTCACTCACCTGACTTCTCTTCCACGTAAGGGATAACAAAGCGTAACTTTTTTTTTTTTTTTAACAAGGCTACTTTGCATGATGTCTAATAAAAAGGGAAATGCTGCTTCAAGACTAGTAAAGGCGACTTCTCTGTCTCTTCTCCCCCTCCCCCCAATCTTTCTCAATCTCTTCCTCCCTCCAAATAATGTCTGGATAAAAGCAATAGGAATAATATAGGACGGTGAGTCAAGTCATCAACTTCACTCCTGTAGTACAAGGTGATGTCCAGCCTGCACAGTTAGATCAGTGTGTTCCATCGCATCCATTGTTTTGCATATCTCCCTCAACTGACGGGACATCTGTTGCTCTGATGCTATTTTCATTATCAGGTCTCTTACAATTGCTTGGCACAACATCTGTTAATACCGTCATGGTACAGATGTTAGCAACAGAATCCCACAGACAACAGATATTGCTATAGTTCTTCTCATGTACAATAACCAGACCCTGCCATCTAGACCAGGTAGTGCTGTTTCACTGCTTTATCCTATCCTATTATCGATTTGTTGGATTGATAGCAGATCCTCAACGACAAATATATTACTTGAAAACATAAAAAAGGCTGTGTGCATCTCTCTAATACATGTACAGGGATGAATGCATGGAAGAATGCAAATACAAGCACATATCCCACAGCACGGTCTACTAGCCATTCAGTTGTAGTATGAAGGTTCATCTATTCTGCCAAATTGTCCCTGTTTATGTGTCATTCAGATTCAAGTAATTTTCACGGTGCCATTGTACAACAGAATAGTGGGGAATCGATAGCACATACCAAAATTGTGGGCATTTATAAACCAATGTTTGCCCAGCTGAATTTCCTCCTGCCTTTAAGCAAATGTTCTGCTTGTGGGCATTCAGCTAATTGCAACTGAGAGCAGCTGCACTGAAAAATAACCTGGTTTGTTTGTTGTGGGCAACAGCCCCATCTGGCGGAGAAAGATACATCTGGCTTTTTCATGTGGAGGGCTTTGAATTCTGTTATTTCTAATTTTCAAAATGTTGATGAAATGTTGATGTTTTCTAATTTTGTAACTTGTTGATGTTCATGTATGGAGTTTAGAGCTTTCTGAAGGTAAGTTTTATTTGCTTAATCAGCTTGGTTGAGCTTTTGTTCATTAGACAAAATCTGTAAGCAAAAACAAACACTGCTGTTATCCAAGAATACGTATAACAATGCCGAAATTTGTGTGTTCCCATTATTCTGTTTCCTACTTAATCTGCACTTGAAGTTCATCCACCTGCAACTTTGCTTCCCAAAAACACTAAATGGCAGCAAATGTTGCTTAATTACATATTTGTCACCAAATATTTTGGTTAGAGGTAAACGAAATGTTTATTAAAACTAATGCACAAAGTCAGAATGCTGTGGCCAAAGTCATACCTGTGCTTTCTAAGCTATTTAAACACTGCAAATTGTCATTACAAGCTGAAATATAAGAAGAGCGGCATTTATTTGGGAAAGAAGGTCGTGCTTTGATTTAATGTTTAATTTGGGCTGTCTTCTTTCATTTCTATGTTTTTAATTGCTTTTATTTAGTATTCTATTTTGTAAGCCACCCAGAACCCACTGGAGTGGGTAGCTATATTAAATCTAAATAACAACAACGACAACAACATAATTAAAAGATGTATTTACACTGAAGGAAGACTATAATTGAGCTTCCAAGAGAGATTTGACAAACAGATCCAATCACATTTAGGCATGATATCAATGGGACTGAAGCATGGTTGACTGGATCAGGATTCACCTAGAACACTCTTAAATTAAAATGAATTCTTGAATTTGCACATTGTTCTCACCAATTTGTGAGAACCAGTAACACCTGATTTTTCTTCTGTTAGTATAAAGCATCCTCACCCACATTATGTTATTATTTTTAACACTGAGAGTCATTTGGAATCTAATGCTCTGATATTGAGCCTTTGCAGCACCTAAGAACTGTTAAAAATAGCTTAAACAATGGTGAATCTCTGATACTCAGAAAATAGGTTGGGGTAACATTATTATTGTTTGTTAGTTTGTTTTAATCCTCATCAGAAAGGTCAGGTGTAGAGAGATGATCTGCATATTACTGAATAGCAACAGCTCCTTATT